ACTGAATCAAACTAGTATGCGTCTTCATCTTTCCAGACTGAAGGTCCTTATTCTTCAAAACCTGTCCTCAGATAGGTCCCTCTGTCTGAGCCTTGTAAGCAGCGAGCGCCCTCCTCAGTCCACCTGGGGCAGAGGACGGCTGTTGGCAGAGCTCCGGGAGCAGCCACGCCCGCCCTGCCCGCCCTGCTTCCAACAGGAAGACACTTCTGGTTCACCTCCCTAAGGAGCTAGGTCCTGGTTCCACCCCCACTGCTCTGGGCAAATCATTTATCCCTGACCTCTCAGCAAGATCAAGGTCAGCGCCACCCTGACTGTCTCCCCAGTGAAAGGCCAGAGCGTGGAAACGGGCTGACAGATGTGCAGTGCTTGGATGGGGGGGTGAGCACGCTGGCACGGAGACAAGGCCGATGGCTCCTGCGGCTACAGCAACCCCACTAATGCTTTCTGGAAACTCTCGGCAAGGACTTTTCTGGATCAGATGGGCAGCTCAGAGCCAGGCCTCTCTGAAGGGTGTGACAAGCGATGTTTCCGAGTTCGCTAGCGGTCTACACTGCGGCACCCCAACTACTTCTCTGCTACTGTGGTGGATCCTGCCCCACGCTGAGCACTGCCCTAGCCTGGGCCACTGGCAGGCTTATGAGGCCTCACTGCACGGCCTGTGAGCCTGGGCTCGAGCCCGGGCCACCCCATGGCGGCCTCCCCAGCGCGGGAGAGGGCCTGCTCATCTTGTCCACAAAGTCTCGACTGCTCCGACCAGAGTGAACACTCACTGGCGCCCGCAGCAGGGACCTGGGGACCGCTCCCGTGCATCGGGACCTGCTCGCCCTTCACCAGGGAGTCTTGCCCTGCACTTGGAGAGAAGAGCCGGGACACGGGGGCGGGCTGGCTGCTTGCGGCATGGCCGAGGTCTGTCATCAGGATGCCGCTGTGGAACTCCGAGACTCCAGGAGCCTGGGGAGACACAGGCCAGAGCAGTCACCCCGACCACAGTCATGTCAGGGAAGGCGGCCCAAGGGTGGGACCGCGCTGGAGTTACGACATGGAAGTCTGTCCAGGGCGCCTCACCCCGGTGATGGCAGCGGGCGTGATGACCATACTGGACTGGGACACGGTGGAAGCCAACATCCCTTCTCTCTTCAGAGGGCCTGTCATGATCACTGCTTGTGGTTGTCCGGAAAAGGCAGCTACCACAACGAGAAGAAAGTGGGGGTGGGGGGCCCGAGCTGGGGGGCCCGCTCCTGACACCGGTGCTGAACCCCCAACAGAAACACGACCTTTTGGCTGCCACTGAGACAGCTTTCCTCACCATGGGGCATGGGGGGACAGAAGCACTAGGGCACCTCACATTTCTTTGTAACCTCTCCTTGGAGGAAACAGATTACCCAGGAAATAGAGGACCAGGGCCATGTGTTTTCAGACTGGGTTGAGACTCATGTTAAGAGAGACTAGATTACACATGTAGCATTTCATAAGTTTTTTTCACACAACGTATGTCATGACTACAAGCCTTGGGGACAGGGGACTATCTTGGGGGAGGGGCCACACTCCAGCTTCCCTCCTCGACTCACCTGGGGTGATGCAAGCATTCTTCAGTACCAAGGACACGGGCTCTGGTTTGGGAGCAGGCACTATTTTGGGGGGCTGCTTGGGCCTCCCTCCAGTAAAGGATACAGGTTTGGGGTGCACAAAAGTTAAACGGAGCTGGGGAGGCCCGACGGCTGGTGGCCGGGTGACGGGAGACAGTGCCAGTCCACAGGGGGATGCTGAGGGGGTGGGACGGTGGGTGGTGATGACGAGGCCCTGGCTCTGGCTGAAGGTGGTGGCAGAGGCATCGTGCGTGAGGGTGGCGGAGGCTGTGTGCGTGATGACGACGGGGGCCTTACTGACTCCAGCAAACTTCTGTGGCTGCACGAAGGCGGGTGGAGTTGGGGGGCTCAGGGCAGTGGTGGGAGGAGGGGCTAACGGCACAGCAGGGGAAGCGGGCGCCGGGGCGGGACTGGGAGAGAGCATGGGCACGCTGAACACGGGGAGAAAGGGCTGCGGGACGCTCAGGGGCGCTGCAGAGGGGCTGAAGTCTGCAGGCTGCATAAAGGGGTCTCCAGGCCGGGAAGCACGTTCACAGGCTGGTCTATCTGTGGGGTCCAGGGCGGGGGCTGCGGGGGGCGCAATGAGGCTGTCAGGGAGGCTTACGGTGGGGAGAGAGGTGGTTGGCAGGTCGCTCTCCTGAGAAGGGAAGAGAAGGAAGTGAGGGACAGATCCCGGGGTCGCACACTCGCCCTCACTTTCTAGTGCTACACCCCACACAATGCGACGGTGCCCACCGGGCACCGGGGGTGAACCCTGGACAGAAGGGACAGAGGCGATTCTCCCCTCCTGTGACTGCTCATCAGGGGAGAGGGACCTGTGTCCCCCCAGGCGTTGGTGGGGTCTGGTTTCCATTAGGAACTACACGATAACACAGGGCTCAGACAAAGCGACAGTCTGCACACAGCTGGCTCTCGGCCTGGCAATATCTTGTTTCTGGAGCCCAGCAGGGGTCCCCCGAAAGTCCCTGCCATCTTCTGTTACGGAGCAGAGGCGGCCTGGATCGCAGCTGTTCATGGGTTCCCTCAGGACAGTTTCACGTATCAACTTCTAGAGAGGTCACCTCTTCCTAAGAGGGGACGCTATAAGGAATCAATTGTTCAGATCTCAGTCTCTATAGAAATTCTTCCCAGAGCCAGGTGGAAGAAGATGGGCACCATTCAGAGGGCCCTGTCTGACTTGGCTCTGAAGCCCCAGCACCCGGTAACCAACTTGTGTTGATCGCTGAATAAAAAGTAAAACGAACACACAGAACTCCTTCTCATCAGTGACCCAGGGTTTTGTCCGCTGTCTCAACCACTCAGAGCAGAGCTCACTGCACAGGTTACCTGGAGCCCTGGGCAGGAGAAGCACCCGGCCAGTCTCCCGCCTCATGGACATCCAGAATGCTTTTGGCTAGACTAATTTCCTGTGTTCGACACTGAATCTAGAAACCCCTGGCACTTTGCTCACAACTGCGTGGTTACGTGATTACCTAGCCCTGGCTGCTGACCAGCTGATGACCAGCTCTGTGCCCCTCCCCCAGCTCCCTCTACCTGAGCAGGTGGGCTGTTGGGATCTGGTGTGGGCACTGAGGGAGGCGCAGACAGCATGGAGCCAAAAATGGACCGGCTGGAAGAGAACAGGTCTGAAAGACAACATTGAGGGCTTCTGAGCTCACGGGCCCATCACTTCCTTGAATTAACATGCAAACAAGTCAGGCAATGAACCCCACCTGACCCAGAGGAATGCCAGGCCTGAGGGCATCTCCCCGCTCCCTGAGATAACTCTGCAGAAAGAGGCCCTCTGATGGGAGCCACACATGCTGGCAACTAGCGTGGGCTCAGTACTCCCAGGCCTGGCATTCCCCCTGCTCATACAACGGTGGGAGCTCAAGGACCAGCGCTAACTGCAGGAAACTGTGGGGAGGCGGCTGTGTCGTCAGCGCCCTCTGCTGCCTAGAGGGAGAACGGCTTACAGTGGCAGCCAAGCCGGATGCTCTGAGGCAGCGAGAATACCAATTTCCTTGAGAGAGAACAACGTCCCAGAGAGACTTCCCAGACCTTGTCGTTACAACCAAACAAGGAAGTAGTTCTGGAAAGATTCTAAGTCCTCCCCTGTCCCCTTTCCCATCTGAAAGCTCCCTCTGTGAAAAGGAAACGTCAGCTTTGTCCGGGGCAGAGGCGACGCGGGCAGCCATGCGCTCTGCTCCATGTCCTCACCCTGGAAAGGCTCAAACGTGTCCATGAAGTCCAGGTTGGGCTGCAGGGGAATCAGTCCCGGCTGAATCATGTCTGCGTTCCCCAAGTGTGCTGTAAGAGCCAGAAAGGGGACAGGGCGGTCACTCTGCCTTCTCAAAGATGTAGCTACGCGTGAAAGACCTGAAACGGATCTTCCGGGCCCTGCTCATGTTCTAGATTCTTCCAAAGAGAAATGCAGGCAGCTGGCTGGGATTTCTACCTCCTTGTAGGTTCATGGCCATTCTCCGCCCTCAGAAGGCAAGAAAGAATGTGAGTTTTTGCAAGAAGGGTAAATTGAGTATCGGGAACACATACTCCCAGGAAGCCGTGAGCCGTCATGCAGAGATCACACCCCCTCTCTCGTTCTGATTTTCAGTCTGTAGGCTCTTCCCTGACGGGTTAACTGGACCACAGAATGCCGCCAAGTAAGAGCTCATGCCCAGAGCTGCTGCCGATTTTTTTTTTAGAGTCAAAGGCCCTGTCACTTGGCTAGGCACACATCCTCTGCTAAGGGGACAATCAGAAACGTAAAACTGACCCACACCGACTCCTGCTGTTACCTCGCAGTGGGACATGGGCCTGGCAGCTGTCCAGGCAGGCTCAATTTGCGGTCCCCACCCACTCAATGGGTATGGCCCTCGGATGTCAGTGAGGTTGACCAATCCTTCCCCTTACTGCTTGCCCTACACAAGTGACGTGTAGCAGCTCAGAGATGGCCCTGAGGCGAAGCCTGCTCCAGGTAAGGCCCAGGTAAGGCCTTGCAGGGAAGGAAACCCGCTGGGCATTCGAAGCGGAGGGCCTGGGGGTGGGTTACCTATTTCCCGAGGGTTGGGCCAGGCCACCGGCTGGTGTGAGGAGAGTGTGGAGAAGAGAGTGTCGCTGAACTCGGACATGAGCATGTCTGTGCCCAGCAGCGGGTCCTCCTCCATGGGGACTGGGGTCTTCCATCCATCCCCATGTCTGTGCCAGTAGAGCATGTCATCGTCCTACCACCAACAGAGGGGGAAGGAAAATTCGAAGGGGCGACAGTGGACCCAGAGTTCCCAACCACGTCACGCTTGGGGCGCATGTCCCCTCATGCGAGAGCGGCAGGGGCTGCTGCAGAGATGAGGCGCGTGGTGGAGAGAGCGGGAGACGCCCCCTCCAGCCCCCGCCAGCAGAGAGAACTGTCTAGACCTCGGCCCTTCACGTGCCTCGTGTCAGAGGGGATAGCTCCTCCTCTGGCCAGACAGTCCGTGTCCCCACCACCTTCTGCTGCCAGGCCACCCAGTCATAGCTATTTCTTGTCCAGGGGGGGTTGCCATGAGGGTCCTCACAGACCCGAGCTCACTCACCTGGGCCAGGATGGAGAGGTCCTCATCCTTATGCTGCTGTAACTGGAGGAAAGGGGAGGCAAGGCGGTCGCCCAGGGCCCCGGGAGGGGACGAGGCCCTCAGCCCCTCCTCCCTAACAGCGCGTGAACCCCAGAAGCATCAAGGCCTCTTCTCCCTAGGAGGCGGGCGGGGAGAGGGATCTTGCTCCCTGCTGTCCCCAGGCTGATGCCGCACACAGAGGAGATTCCCAACCGGTGTTTGTGGGACAAAAGGCCCCGTTCGTAGCTGGAGGAGCCGACGGCAGACGACACGACTGATGCGGGCCCATCCCCAGGCGGCTGTGAGCACACGGTCTCATGGCCAGTGTTCCGCCCACGGGGCCAGGTCCCCTCCCTACGCCACGGACATGCTCTTTTTGGAGCTCAGACAGATACCCTTTTCTTGAAGTAGGTTCTCCACTTGTGATACTCCCGGATCACGAACTCAATGCGGCTTTTCCAGTACTTGCCTTCGGTGGTGATGGCCTGTGAGAGAGATGAGGTCAGAATGGAAAGCGGCGTCTCGTTTGATTAGCAGGAGCGTCTGACACTGGGCCGTCAGTCAGTCGCGGGCACTGCATCTCAGAGGACCCTAGCCCGCGCCTACGACGTCATTCACAAATATGCCCCCTCTCCTGTGCTACAAGGGGTCTCGAGCGGATGATGTACTTTCGCCTCGTGACCTGCAGTAATGGGGGGCGGGGTGGGGGGTGATGGCAGCACGGGTCCTGAGGGTCTGGACTGGACGGGGTCAGACAGAAAGCATGGGCAGCGAAGTCAAGAGCCCTCCGTCCTGGGGCTGAGGAGCCCTGCAGAGACTCGGGGTGTTAGCCGGATGCCGTCCCCAGCAGCGCTACGGCATTGTCAACAGATCAAACCAACGGTCGATCACAGAAGTTCTAGGTAGAAAGTGACTTCCAAGAGCATCTAGTGACAGGGAAGTCACAACTGCCTCTGAGAGCCCACCTCACTTTCGGAGCCTTATCATATCAAAGTCGTACATAATTTCACCTAAAAATACCTCCTGTTTGTCTCTGACAGTGAAGAATCTTCACCATGATTAATATTATTACCAGTCCTGAGAAAACTATACTCCTTACTATGTCTCCTACCAGATCACGTCCAACTGCTCCAAACTGTCTTTCATTAGGTTACTTTCCAACCTCCCACCCCGCTTCATAAAAGCCGTGTTTGGACCAGATTAAAACAATGCGGAGAGCGAAAGGGAAGAAAGCCTCTCCGCTCCTCCCGTGCTGGCCTCGCCTCCCAGAGGCTCCCACTAAGAAGACGTTTCTGAATAAAGACACCAAACTGCTGCTGTGCAACTGGCTTCGTTTTCATTTACTATTTCTTCGACATCTGTCCAGCCAGTATATGAAGACCCTGAGGTCATTCTTTAATTGTTAAAGACATCTGCCTTGGAAGGAGCCCCAATCCCACCCTGTTGACTGCAGAGAAATGTCGATGTCACGGGAAAGTAGAGGGCTAAGTCCAGCTGGAGAGCCCCTTGTCCTTGGGCCAGCCCACTCTGCCACTCTGAGAGGGAGAGCCTCTGCAGCGTGTCAAGCCACCTGCTCCCGACGTTCCCATCACTTCCCGAGGTCACCACAGCTGACGGGACAGCGCAGCCCCAGCACCCTTCCCTTTGGTCTCCCACTGGGGAAGCCGACCCTCGCTCCCAGCCTGGGGTAAGTCGTTCCCTGAGTGAGGGCGAGTCCCTTTCCCAGCCAGCGTGACCACGTGCCAAGTACCTCCGGCCGGCGATGCTCATCTACTTCAACAGAGCCATCCAGCGGAGTGACAAAGTGGCACACAGGATTCTTGCGCTTCTCCAAATCTGGGTGGAGAGAGGGTGAGACCTCAACACTGCAACGAAGACCCCTGCAGAGCCCTGCCCCTCTGTCCATGCCCCTCCCCTCAGGGTGGGACCCTACGGTCTGTTCTTTCTTCTCCTTCCTTTGGAAAAGGAGATTTCAGAGAAATAAACGCATCCAGGTTAAAGGGAAAGAATCTGTCAATAAAATGCGGGTAACGCAGGGAGTCTGGCTCATCCGGACGAAGGCCAGCCTAACTCGAGGTGGCCTGAGCACGACCATCGCCTGCATAAGTCACTGAGTCCCCACATCCAAGCCAGCTGAGGCAAAGCAAGGTCTGGGTCTGCATCTTCTCAGACTTGCTGAAATGGGAACTGTTCCCTGACCCTTCAGATGTCACCTCTCTGCTACACCCTTCCCGATTCCCCTGAGAAGCACGAACCCCTCTGTCTTTACCCCTCTGTCTTTACGGCACTAGGCCCCAGGGTCTATCATAATAGTGGGTGTGGCGTGTTGAGAGCAAGCAGCTAACACGTGCGTCTCCTGCAGACCACAGGCATCTTCACGACGCAGACCACTTGGTTGGCTCCCTGTGTCTGACGGCCAAGAAGTGTTCGGCTCGTCACTAGGACCTTGCCTGGTTTCCCTGTCTCTGTGGCTGCCCGAGAGAGGCTTCTCTTTGAGGCACATGTTCCGAGAGCAGGAGCTGGGGTCCGAGGTGCAAAAGACTGCAGGTGGAAGAACCTGGGGGGCCACCCCCCACGCAAGGCTTCGGGGTCCCCGCAGCCTCCTGCCCCGGCTCGCGGGAGGCCCCGGCTCGCGGGAGGCCCCGGCTCGCGCCGCACTTACACTGCATGTACCACGCCCGCCAGATGGCGTTGTTGAGCCGGATCTTGTCCCTCCACTGGAGCTTCAGGCCCTTGAAATTCTTCCACTTCGGAGACACCAACTTCCCACTGAAAGGCAAGAGCAAGAGGGGAAACTCAGGGGTCCCTCTGAAAATGAAGCGAAGCCAAAAAGTGACACCCAATCGTTCCAGGTCCCCAAATTGTGGATGAACCCATTACAAGCCACAGGATTTCTTCAAAGTGACGTGGAGCAGGAGGGGTTGGGGTGGGCGTGGTGGTGGCGATGGTGTCAGGGCGTGGAGGGAATGGGTCTGGCCAGGGTTAACTGTCAGAGCGGATCAGGGGACATAGGGTTCACCGTCCTACTCCGTCTACTTCTGCATGTCTAAACTTTTCCGTAATTACAAGTTTTTAAAAAATCTGTTGATTTTGCAATAGATGTGAGTATCGAATCACATTGTACACTTTAAACTTACATAATGTTATATGTCATTTATACCTCAATGAAGCTGGGGGAAAAAAAGAAGAAAGAAATCTGTCGACCGCTGAGTGAGAGCCAAGTTCATTTTACCTGGTCTCAGTCCACCCCCTCTGCCACCAGTCCTGAGGCTCTGACCGTCCCAGCACCCAAATGTCCCACTGGCCTTAGAACCTGCCGGGGGGGCCTCTCCTGTCTCCAGGCCTCCGCACACGCGGTCCTCACTCCCTGTGGAGCTCCCTGTGCCCCTGGCCACCTGCTCGTCCTTCAAAACGCTGCTCAAACGCCATCTCCTCCCAGCCGGCACCGGGCTCCCAAGGACGCTGCCAATTCCTTCCGGTTCCCTGAGCACTGTTCAAACCCCAAAGACAGCACTCGCCCACAGCCCACGTAACAGCGCCTGTACCCACACCGTCCTCCACTAGGCTGCAGCTCCGTGAGGAAGGACCCTTTCGTGTCACCCGCCGTAAGCACCTAGCACAGAACTTGGCACAAAGCAGGGGTTTATGTAATAATTCTTTGTTAACGAGCTAAAGAGCCCTTGCGAAGCAAGCTAACAGCAGGCAAAGAACACGCCCTGGTGGCACAGCCTTCTCAGACAGTTCAGTTTTCTAAGGGCTCTGCCAGGAGCCACATCTGTGCAGCTGGCAGAGGGTTTCCCTTTTTCAGATGGCTCAAGATAGGCAGGGCACTATTTTTGGTCCGGGTCCTCCTGACCACAGGGCACAGCCCTGCCCCTTCTCCCGAACCCACTCAGAAAGCTCACGTGACGAGCAGAGATGTGCCAACAGTCACAACAGCTGAGGTCTTCAATGACAGCGCCTGAACAATAACCTTACCTGAACCTGAAAAGCTGGGTTACAAAGCACAAGGCCTGGCTGTGTACCTGACAAAACCTCATGGCTCCCCCGACCTGAGCCAGCACCGAGCCAGGCTGGGAACCACGGCACACTGGCCAGAGGCTGTGATCCCCACAGTGAAAATGTCAGAGCACATCGTCTTAGAAACTAAGGGACACGCAGCAGCAATCTCAGCTCAGAGGGTCAGGGGCTTCGAACCAGTCACACGCCTTCTTCTTCCTGTCTCTCTCACCCAGGTACTTCCACCCCCCGGTCCACAGCCGGCAGCCAGGCATTTCAGAGCCTCTGCTGCGTAACTGAGTCCTGACTGGGAGCTTTATGGTCGCAACTTTTCTGGCACCTGTTTCTTGGGCGAGAATAATAACACCGCCTCCAGAGTGTGTTAATAAGGATTAAATGAGGGCACACACGACACACAGAATGGTGAACCCTGAAGCAAAATATAAACGTAAGATATTAATAACCACCTCCATCATCTAGATTTATTACCAAAAGGCCCGATTTTTAACACCTCCTGACTTGAAAAAGCCCTCTCTTTTGTGTGTGTTGTAACAAGGCTCTTCCTCCTCTACAGGAGGAAAGAGGTGACACCCAGGTACCACTCTCAATGCCAAACACAGACCTAGGCAAAGGTCCAACCTGAACTTCACGCCGCTGCAGAACCATCTGCCTCTCATTTACTCCTTTGACGAGCTCACGCTTAGCGCGTGTGCTAAGAACTAAGGACAGGGACAGATGCGACAGATGAGGCCCCCTGCCCTTGTGGAGCATCCAGGTCGCTGAGGCACGAGTCCTGTCTACGTGCTGAGTTGCAAAGAGGAGCAGAGGGCCATGGGAGCACACGGTCAGCATAAGTGGCCAGTCTGCGCAGTCAGGAGTGGCTTTCTGGATGAAATGACATCCAAGCTAAGGCCTAGAGGATAAGGAACCTTTAGCTGAACCAAGGGCAGGGAGGCAACGTCCCTTCTGGCCTGTGACAGCCCTGAGGTGAGCAAGAACACGCTGGTCAAGGTGGCGGGAAACACCCAGTGTGGCTGGAGCCTGGAGGGTGGGGGACAGGCGGGGTGCTTCTAGACCAGGCTGGGGAGCAGATACCTACCAGAGTATGGCAGGTCCCATGGTTTGGCAAAACCAACCCTCTTTTCCTCCTCAGCAAGGTCTTTCTGCAACCTGACATGTAGCCGGCAGGTGGTTCCAGGAAAAAAACAACAGAAAACAGAAAACAGTCCCTACCTCTTTATTTCCTTAAGGGGGAAACCTGTCTCCCCCAAATTTTCTATAAGAGTCAGTTTCCTCACATTGAAGCCCAGATTCAAAGGCCACTTCTCTGTCATGCATCCAGAGATGGCTGCGGAGGACAACAGCAGAAGGGCTATAAAGGGACACTGAGGGCTCCTGGGAACAGAGCCACCGTTGGTGCCTCGTAATGTTTGGAGAGAGCTAACCACTGGGCTTAAAAACAAACCAACCTCACCCCTGCTTTGTTACTGAAGACAAAGGGGGGAGATGCGAGCACACGAGCATCTTCTCGGAGAAGTCGGATTACGCATACAGCTTCAATTACGCACAACGAAGCATAGATACAGAGAGATCAAACCCCATATGCTGGAAACCAAACGGACAGGGAACATTTTGGGGTTCTCGTCATCTTCCTCCTTGCTCGCTGAAATGTTCCACTTTTCCTTGATGTTTATGTCGACAGAGGCTGGCGGATGGGGAGGCCTGTCCTAGTCCAGGGCTACCTGGAAGAGCCTGGGAAGGCAGTCTGGGGTTCAGTTATAAGCTACTTCCTGAGCTTGATCAACATTAAAGGCAATATTTTAGCCAGAATCTGCTGACTCTTTTTTATTGTGGTAAAATGCATATAACACAAAATTTACCATTTTAAAACGTACAATTCAGTGGCATTAAGCACTTTCGCAATGCTTTGCAACCACCACTGCTACCTAGTTTTAGAACTTTTTTCATCACCCCAAAAGGAAACCCTATCCCATTACCTGCTTCCCCAGGCCCTGGCAACCAGGAGTATACTGTCTGTCACTTACGAATTTGTTTCTTCTGGACATTTCATATAAACGGAATGACAAAACGTGTGGCTTTTGTGTCTGGTTTCTTTCACTTAGCACAACATTTTCAGGGTTCGTCTGTGTCAGAGCAAGAGGCAGTACCTCATTCCTCTTTAGGGCCTCATCATACTGCGCTGGATGGGCAGGGCGCATCGTTTACTCTTTCATCCACTGATAAACACCAGAGCCATTTTGCCTTGCGGTTACAGTGCACGGTGCTGCTGCGAAGCGACTCGTTGCATCCCCAGTCAGGCCAGAACTCCGGCAGGGGAGACAGGTCCAATTACTAAGCTGGCTCCGGGGCCATAACGGTGGGCAAAACCCACGGCGAATTTTGTGGGAAGGCAGGTGGATGGCGGCCCACTAACATTTTACACGTGTCCCTGTGACTCTCAACTCCATGCTGGGAGTCGATCCCCCGGGCCGGCCTGCACACGGGCTCAGACATAGCGGAAGGCACCCAAGTGCAGGGCTGTTTGTGGCAGCAAAAGGCTGGAAATGACCTAGATGTTCATCAGAGGGGAACCGTTTAAACTTGCGGGAGACCCGCACAGGGGGGGCATGAGGGGCAACCCAACAACACACGCTTACACGTGCCGACACACAGCCAAGATCTGCAGGATGCGTCAAGTGGGAAAACAAGGTGCACATACACATACAGTGTGGCCACCATCAGTACTTTTAACAGGGAGATACACGCACAGACACACAGGCAGGGTGGACGGGAGGGGCAGGAAGACAGCCGGTCGGTCTCAGGAAAGGTACACAAGAGACAGGTAACAGTGAAACAGTGACTTCCTTTCCGAGAGCTGAATTAAGGGATTCGGTTGGAGGCTTAGTTTTCACCATTTACTGTTTTATGTTATTTTTTTACTTTTTTATTTTTTTAGGCGAGGCAATCCTTGGTTGACCTCACAGATTTCAAGGACCTTGTCAGCTTACAATCTTTTATTTTTTAAAATTTTTTTATGCCTACAGCACCTGGTCTTCCTAGGTGGTCTCCCATCCAAGTACTAACCAGGCCCGACCCTGCTTAGCCTCCGAGATCAGACGGGATTGGGCTTGTTCAGGGTGGCATGGTCGTAGACTGTTTTATGTTATTTAAATATAACATAGGCATGTATTATTCTTTTTTTTTTTTTAATAAACAAAGGAAAAAGACCAGATACAGTCCCAGCCTTTTATAGGGCTTCTAGTTAATTGGAGAAGACAATGAATCACATGAACAGATGTAAAATTTGTGCAAGTCAATTTTGTGCACCGGATCCAAACGTGAGGATAATGGCTACTAAGTGGTTCCTCTAATGAGTGAGTGGATGGATAACTCAGGCTGGTCTCTTCCAGGACTCTGATGCTTTTTCTTCAAAGGAGCGGTCTCTAGGATCTGGGCCTGGTTCCACAGGCTGTTAGGAGCCAAAACTAACAGGCTCCAGACGGACAAAGGTTCATTGTGGAGCCAAGACACGGGGCGCAGCCACAGGAGAGGGGGGCAGGAGGGCACCGCCTGGAGCCGTGGGCCCTGCCTTGGGCAGCGGCCCAGTGGAGGCTCCTTCCTCCCAGAGGAGGCCTGGGAGGTCTTCAGGCCCTGCTCCCATGGCCAGGCCAGGCGTGGGTCCTCCTCCTGTGCCCAAAGTTCATCCTCCTCGTGAGTCACTTGGTGTCTTTTTTTTATTCAAAGATGAGTCCTGTCGGAGAGGCAGGCTC